CTTTTTGTGAACGATTAAAATTAATTGCAGACGGTTTTAGGCCGCTTGTCAACCGACGTAATGACACTATTGCCTAAACAAATTCATTCTGAAACCAATATTTTTCTTTCAACCAAAGTGATTTGAGAGAGAGAGAGAAAAGAGAGGATAAATAGGTTATTTATCGGCTTCAGGTAGTGACCGACGTCTTTGCTTAAAAATACTGCCCAGCCGGAAAAACGAGATATATTTATGAAAAATGGCAACGAAATTGAAGAAGGAATGTACTCGGCGATTCACGAAAGCGTTACTGTTGCCCGTGGACAGAGATAGGAAAATACAGACCGCGTAAAGAACCAATAAGATTACAGGATTCGTTTCTGTGCCCTTTGAAAAAAAATAATAAAAATCAAAATAAATAATTAATCGGGTCGAGATCGCCGCCTCTCAAAACATTTATTTTCTTAAATAACTTTGAGTATGTAACCCAATGGGGAGTGGATTTCACAATTTTCTAAATTTGTAATGCAGTCCTCATTAATTGCCCTCAAGAAGTTAGAAATAAATGTAATTTCTTTTTTTCTTTTTCAAAGGTAGGCTACTCGCTCTAACGAAGGGCTAACGCTCGAAACGTCAGCTTTTTTATTCTTTACAGTGGCCAATTTACGTTTTCAACTCAGTTGTTAATGCTAAATTACCTGCTGTACCCTCCCACCGACGCAGTACCATAGTTTCTTTAGAAACTTACCCTCTTTTACTTTACATCCTTTTTCCAGAACAACCACTGCAATTTCCTAGTAAAGAAGACACGTATAAAATGAAACAAACGAAACAGGACAAAATAAAGTGTTTCATGAAGGTTTATTTCCAGCAGCTCAGATAATAACCCGCTCCTGCTCTATGTTTGATATCTCAGTAATATTACATTTTCCCTGTTTTTAGGATGCTAACCTTCAACAGGATCACTCACATTAATGAACACACATTCAATGACTTTCCGGTTTGACCACACTGTAAGTGTCCTCTATATACTTTTCTAAAGAGGTGTGAGTCAGGGGTCTAAATAACGTGTTCTATTAGCAGAGTAGTAGGTACAGTAGTTGCATAGTGGTGTAGTAGGTGACTGTCCCAGGAGAAGAGACCTTTAGGCCCCTTTCCCTAAGGAGAGTCAGGTGGCATTGTCCCTCAGAAAAAAATAATTGAAATTTATAGCTCCAAAGCGTTATTTCCATCATTATGAGCAACAAAAAGTGTACTTTTTGTTATAACTTTCATCGACACCTTTGTAATTTGCAAGCGATTCCTTACCAATTAAAATGCTTCGTTATAGAGCGTTCGTGGATAAACGAAGCAAATCCAGAAATCAATGCCTTGCGGGAAGGCTCTCATTTCAAGCCCTACCCCCTC